GCTCAGATAGGCAGTTTAACCAAACAGAAAGGCATTTAGGTGGATATTTTAGTATTCCGACACAGCGAACAGATAATGGTGATCGTCTGCTGCAGCTATGCTTAGACAATCGTTATATTTAGCAAACACAAATTTTAAGCATAAGGAGAGACATCGTCTAACATGGCGACCCACTACACCAAACCAACGATGGACTCAAATAGAACATATTGCCATAAGTCATCGTTGGAGAGGGTCGGTAGAAGATTGTCGCTCATTCTGGAGTACCTGCTTGGACTCCGACCACGCCCTAATACAGGCACGCATCTGCTTGCGCCTCACTGGACGCAAGAAAGCCACATTAAAAAAAGACCCGTTAGAACTGAGTTGAGTAACGAGAAAACCAAAAGTAGATTCCAGCCTAAAATAAACAGTTTGTACAGTAGAAAAGCTTAAAAATTAACCATTGGAATAACATTGATTGTATTTTGGGGAACTGATGACTAAGAATGTTTCATTTCTTTTTATAAGAAAACAATATTAACACAGTCATAAATAATAACAGACCAAAAGATAAACTATTTATTCAGTGTAAATCATAATAGTTTTACTCTCTTAATACGTTTGATTAATCTAAATATTTGGGTTAAAATTGAGTTCAGTCAGTCAGTTATCTACAACGTAGGAGCAGGCACATATATGCATCAGTCCAAGTTGCTACACCTCATTAGCACAACAAGATGAACACCAAAATCATAGAAGATGTTAATTCAATGGTGTAAGTATATATTAAAAAAGATTGCATATAGGTATATGATGTAGGGAAAAAGAATAAGCTCATAGAAAGAAAGGTATAAAGCAATTTTAATCTCTTAGTTTAAGCGAAGATAGAGAGTGTATACACCATCGCCATTGTGATTGATTCGGAGCCATGTCACCAAGAGTCACCAACCATTGGTTACGATAGTCACACGGACCCCAACCAAGTAGTCTGCATCTCCCAACATGGCTCAGATCAGAAGTTAGTGGCTTTGTGGACTGATGCTACGTTTTGGTTTGGCTGCCACTAAATTTATTTCATCCTTCTCCAACACTATTCAGCATTGCCCGTCGTGGTAATCGGTGTTAAGGCATACGTAACACGTGACCCAACCATCTCAGTCGATGAAGATTCACAACCTCATCAGCTGATTTACCATCATTCCCTAATACCCTGCGTTTAACCTCACTATTACTTACCCGGTGATCCCAGCAATATTTCTAAGACACCTGTGGTCAAATACTAGTGCCTCACGAGTATCCTCTACTCTTAATGACCATCTTTTGATGCCGTAAATTAAAACCGAATGAACTGTCGCGCAGTATACTCCTCCTTTTATTGATAGACGGGTATCTCGCCTTCGCCATAGATGACGTAATTTGGCAAAAGCCAAACGAGCTTTTGAATCCGTGCAGAGATTTCATCAAACATCAACTCATTAGGGCTGATCAGACTTCCAAGATAAGTGAAGTTGTCAACGCGTTCGACTACTTCACTCCCTATCCTTAGTTCAGGTGTTGACGCAGACCAGTCCTGAAGCAACAACTTGCATTTAGAGGGAGAGAAGCGCATTCCAAACATTCTGGCATTGTTGCTTAGTGCTACCAAAAGACTCTGCATTTTGTCAGCGTCTTCACCAAACAGGACTATGTCATCTGCGTATTCTAAGTCGATAAGTGGACCTCCTGGAAGGAGATCAATACCCGAGAATTCAGTCGACGAGAGTGTTATTTCCATCAATAGGTCTATGATGAAGTTAAACAAAAATGGAGAAAGTGGGCAGCCTTGACGGACACCACTTGAGGTTGCAAAAGTAGATGACAGTTCGCCATAAGCCCTGACTCGACTAGTAGTGTTCGAGTAAAGAGCCTTCACAAGGTTTATGTACTTCTGAGGTACGCCTTTCAATGACAGACACTGCCACAGAGTCTCGCGGTCTACAGAGTCAAATGCTGCTTTTAAGTCAAGAAAGACCACCATCGTCGGACGCCGATAAGTATGCCTGTGTTCTAGAACCTGACGAATGGTGAATATGTGGTCGATGCAGCCACGACCAGGTCTAAAGCCAGCTTGGTTCTCTCGTGTTTGTAGTTCACGAGTCTTAGTTAGGCGTCTGATAATTATCGAGGCCAGTATTTTAGATATTATATTTGTTAAACTAATCCCTCTGTGGTTGTCACAGGATGATTTTGACCCTTTCTTATATATTGGGACGATAAGTGATTGCGACCAGTCAGATGGGATAACGTCTAACTCCCAGATCTTAGCTAAAATATTAGTCAACCTAATCGCTAAAATTGGACCACCATCCTTAAACACTTCTGGAGCCAATCCATCTGGACCAGCTGCCCTTCCTCGTTTCAGATTAACTATAGCCTTCTCAACTTCAGCAAGAGTTGGGGGACCTACTTCAATGTTCCATTCACTTTGTCTGGGAATGGAGGGTAGTTGTAGAGTCGCTGAAGGCCAGTTGAACTGTTCTCTAAAATGTTCCGCCCATCGTTCTAAACGTCTGGACTGGGAGCAGATGAGAGTATCATCTTTTTCCGAAATAATCTCACTTACACTTGACTTATTAATTCCAGTTTCTTTTATTAGTCTGTAGAGCTGTCTTGTGTTCCCTATAGTCGCCGCCTTTTCCATCTCGTTTGCTTTCGTTACCCACCACTGCTCACGGTCGTTCCTTAGACTTTTGCTTAACCTAGATCTGATTTGTTGTTGCTCTTCATCGTGTTCAGAACCTGATGGGACGAGTTTGCGAGAATCCATCAGTGTGACAGACCTTGAAGAAATCCACTGGTTTTTTGTAACTCTGTGGTTTAAGTCACTAATAGATGTCACTGCTGTTTCCACAGCTGATTGTATGCCTTTCCAAGCAACATCTGGGTCAGCCTCGTCTTCACAACTACCTAATTGTGACCTCAGTTGTTCCTGGAATCTACTTTTGGTTTCCTCATTACTCAATTCAGTTCTAATGGGTCTTTTTAGTGTGCGGTTTTGCATCCAGTGAGGCGCAAGCAGATGCGTGCCTGTATTAGGGCATGGTCGGAGTACAAGCAGGTACGTGGTTTCAGAAAAAACTGCTTCAGAATTCGTATTTCGTTGTAGCATACAATTTTCAACCGGGCAGTGACTCGAAAACGTTTAGATAGAACCGAGTTTCCACCATAGGCGAGCTGCTGTATAAGTCGAAAAATAAGGATACACAGAGTGGGAATAAAATAGAGTGAATAAGTGACGTGGTAAATAATAATAATAATGTGAATTGTTTGACTGTTAATCGAAGCGTGAACAGTCTTTTCAGTAAATATCGTCATTTCATTCTATGTGTGTGGGCTGTGATACTACCCAGGTGCCCAAACCGATGCAGGTGGTTTTCTTAGGGGGCCACACCCCGAGCCTTTGACCTGAAGGTCTGATCCACAAGGCAGTGGAGCAACGTAAGGAGATGCAGTTCCATGGTAGCCGGTGACCAACAATTGGTTCATACGCCATTTGTTCCTTCAGGGTACTGGAGCCCATGAGCACCATTGGTTTGGAATCCGGTTAAAGCGCCGGAAATTCGCTTTTCGTCCTCCCATTTTCGTAAACAACACCCCCGCCACGAGAAGGCAGTGAGTAGAACTTCCCTGGCAGAGGCTGTATACGTGTGGCCATGTGAGAGCACTTCGAGAGGGAGAGCGGGCCCTCCCCACTCTCGACTGTACCACGGCATTTGGGGGTAAATAGTTATGACTTCGTTTATTTACGTAAATATTGTGCCCCTAACATTGGGGCTTTTAAAGCAGTTCTGTAGATATTTTTCTGATGGAGAAGAGTTAGTCCGGAATCAAAGCCACGCTGACCTGCCCTTAAGTGTTAGTCAAATAAACCTAGGCAAATATTCTGAATAATGATTTTACGGGGTTCCCACCCATATGATTATGAGCTATTATAACTAGGCAAACCTATTTGAATAGTAACACTCAATAACAGTAGAACTTCGTCATATTTATATAAATTGCCAAAGCAGAATAAGGACGACAGATGATTTCTATGTTGCGGACAATTAGTAAATACTAATAAAATAAAAAGGGCAAGTGATGTTCAGGAAATGTGAAGAAGCTAATAAGAATTGTTGCAGAAAATACACTCAAGAGTCTATGAAAACTAGAATGAAATGTTTATCCTTATTAGTTAAAGAAACTATATTGTCATGAATTGACAACGATAAACTTTTGAACTCCCAAACTTTTTAGAGTGTAAATTGACATTTATTTAAGCAGATAAAATAGTTGAAACTGATCTGGCTACTTGATTAGCCTCATGAAACAGCAAATGTGAGGAATCGACAGCTGGGGATTCGAAAAGTAAGAGGTAAGTAACTAGCCAGATACATTAACCGTAACGTGATTACGGTTTATACTTAATGAGTTTTTATACACGTTATTGATAAAAAAAACTAACCTCAAACTATTTATGTTTTAAGAGTTAACAAGCTAGGTAAAACTTTAGTGAATAAGAAGGCCTGTTGATTCCCGTGTAATGTAATCTCTACAAAGATAGGCAGGATGACTTCGTAAAGGCCAAAACGTGCCATCAGTTCATGAAGTCACTGACCATTGGACTGAGTTGTGTTGGTAGATACAAGCTACCTGGCTGGGGGCCGCACGAATATCACAACCAGTGATTGAAGACGTTGAGTGACATGGCTAAGAAGCGGTCGTAATTATATAAATGGATTCACTATATATCTTCTCTTAAATATTGATTTCCGAAACTATATGATGCTTTATCGACTCACAAATCCATCTTTTCTCGAGTCGTATACTACCAGTGGTACTGTAACTACTTCTACTATTATTTTTGTCTTAATAACATAATTTCGCTGCGTTACACCAACTTGATGCCCGTATGCACCAGGATCTAAATGGTGTTTAACTGGATGGTCATATACAGACATATATTTGAATGTTTGTGTATAAGATGAACAAAAAATGTACTTCAAATAAACTTATTTGATATTGTGGTCTACATATATAGAAACAACATAGTACGCAATTAGGATGATGGTTTTGATAAGTCTCACTGAGCAGAGTATAATTCTACGATAATAAATGGTATCTATCGAGAATTTTCAATGGAAACATGTGTTCATAATTTGAGACATGTAAAAAATTGATTTAAGATGGATTCAATGAAAAATGTTTGCTTCAGATAGATATGAGTAAAAAGACGCATTGAAATATACGGTATATGAAAGACAATTCCAAAATAAGATAAAACTATACATGGAGTCTGAAAACTGTTCTCATATAAGTCCTTCCATTTCACGCATAAACTCTTCATATGCATCATCTTTGCTAGTCGCTGATCCAGAATTAATTCCTGTATTATCAGATTTGGCAACACGATCATAAACAGCATTCGATTGTTCTAAAATTGAAATAGAAAAACAATGACTGGATTATTTGGGTAGGATATATGGTAATACTTTAACTAAAAATTTTCGGGTTTTAAACCACATATACGTGAGGCTTCAATTAGAGTATCGCATCCAAGCAGTTAGTTCATGTCTAATTAGGGATGCTATCACACTCGAACATGTTCAATGTGTGGAACTAAGTTTGTGATGGGTCTTTCCAAACTCACGATGAGCGCTTAAAACACCTAAATCTCTTTCTCGTATACTTGAACTTGAGGTGACCTTATAGTAACATTCCCTATCGTAAATAATGATGTATAGAGGGCATGGTTGAAAAACGGTTACTTTGAAACAACTGTCTCGATCATATATCCTCCTGTCGAACTCCAGCTTAGTGTCATGATCTAGTAGTGTGTAGAACTGCATTCACAGATAATTCCTAACCGAGCATTATAATACGTGTTTTTAAAGAACTATTTATAAAATATCCAATTTCCTGGTACAGTAATTAGTAATAACAAACTGATATTGTCCCGTCATATACAGGGTAAGGGGGAACCTAACTTTTTACATATACATAAATAATATAAAAAACGTTTACTAAGGTATCCTATGCGCCAAAATACTAAATAGACTGGTCCTTTTGAAACTATACATTACTATAATGTAAACTCACTTCCTGTTCCATATGCAGCTGTCCCTCCACCTGTAGTGACTAGACGACCACTAGTATCACGAACAATTCTGCGTACTTTAAGCGCTGTAGGGACAAAACGTGTTGCGTCACCTATTAAATTTTTCAGTTGGGTTTTGCTTCTATAGTAGTTCCACTTGGATTTGGTTGATTTGTTGGAATGCTCGCTACAGCTGGACCACTTACAAGTTCCGCATTATCAAGTGGATCACGAAGGTGCAAACTGGGTGGAGCTGATAATATAGCCCCAGTGGCTGAATGAAAACAGGGTTGAGATTAGGTTAAGAAACTAATAAAGAAGAAACGCATTTTATTTAAATGAACACGAGGTTTTATAATTTTACATCAATAATTAGAAGAAGTGTATGATGGCTTAATCTAATAAACCGGACTGATGCAAAGTAAAAAGCTACGTTGAAGTGGTGTGTCGCACAAAGTTGCATTTACCAGTAACAGTTCCTCAGAATTCCCAGATTTTTGGTGTTGTTGGAAGGACTTACCCTATAAAAGCTCATAACTAAAATATGCGTATTGTTAGTAAGAATGTTTCTACACCCGTCCTTAATAAATACATACATCTAGAAAAAGGTGTATTAGACTAACGATATACAACTAAAGTAGATCCAAAATATATTTAAAACAAAAAGCCCTCATAACCAAATTTTATGCGACTCATTTTTAATACTGATTAAATGCACAATGACTGGCCTTAGTTAATGAACCTGGAACGAGAGTGTCAGATATAATTAATGCAATGTTTTGAAAATGACTTACGGCGTTGGTAAGTGAAACGACTTAGAGTAGGCTGAGGTGCTCCCGGAAATCCTGGACGAATAAGGCCAGTAAAGGATGGTAAAGCCATGGGCGGCGGTAAAGGGATTTGAGAGAGTGGAGGAGTAATAGCTGAAAATTAAAGTGAGAAACAGAGTCACATGATTTAATTGCTAAGAGTTAACCGAAGCTCTGAAACACTTCGCAACTATGTTTCCTCAACTGATTTAAAGCAGTTGACTTACTAGAAATGGTGAATGGAAAATATATCAGAAGAATACGGACAAACACCATATAGTGACCGATATTTTCTAGTAAGTTTTAGAAAGACGACGTTTTGAAATTTCTTACTCTGAATAATACCTAGATTTTGACTAGAGCATGCCCACCGGTAGAAAAATGTATAGGTTAGTAACAAAATTTGGAGGAGAATGACCATATATTTAATATTTGGACGGCGTGGACCTGTTGCCTGGAGAAGGACTTCTCGACCTTGAATATGTGGATGATATTGTCTTACTGTGCGATGATACCACTTGTGTTCAAATAAATAATAAATAGTTATACAAATATTTAGGTGGGTGAGGTTAAAAGTATTTAGACAGTGATTCCTTTTAGTTACGTGGACTCATTCTGCAATGCCATGCAAAGGCATGGATAGCCAAAAAACATGAAGTCAATACACAAACATAGGGCACAGTCAGTACGCAACGCCATATGCATGAAGTTAAGTGGGATACGACTTTAGTGAAAATCAATAAATGTTGAGTCGAATGTGAATCAATATGATGTGAAGCCACATGTTACGTGCTTCAACAACTCTCGCTGCCTATATTTGATGTTTAATATACCGAAAATGCCGACTTCGCAACAAAAATGACAAAAATCCAGAAGTAATCACTGTTTGGTCTAATGAGGAAATTCAAACATTGTATCTGGTGCTCCTTTGTACCATTTTGTGCTCAAATAAATAAATATAAATTCAGTAAAAGGGGGTTGAGAGCTTGACTTACTTGTAAATCCACCGGTGAATTTTTCGCCGAGATGCAGAGATGAATCACCAATTAGTTCTTCTTGCTCCGGCTATAAAGAAACGTTATTGCATATATATACCACTTTACATACCATAGGGTCTGCATCAGCAAACCGGATTTTGCGTTGCTTTGTCGTATTATCAGCAAAATTATCTTCTTCTTCGCTATCTGACAATTCAGGAGGTGTTCCTGGAGGTGGTCCAGGCGGCTTACGACCTGCAGGAAGTATACTAGGTGGAAGCCCTGGAGCTCTGTCGGTATGAAAACAAGACAAATAGAAACTAAGTTTCTTGTTTTGGAATTTAATGCAGTGGTATTATTACGAGATCACGAAATTATTCGGTGAGTTTACTCCCTAAGATGTCATCAGACTTAGCTAAACAAAAACCACAATCACGAATAGTATGAAGGTGTGCTATATTCTCAACCAATGCTCTTTTAAGTCAAATCACTTGTGAACTGATTTTTGCTGATGCAGTGTGGAGGCGACAACGGACAGCTTACCGTTACATTTTATTTTATCGATTGTAACTGTTGATTGAGAACAGTATAAATATTTGCCTAATTTTTCTATTACCATTGGTGCTTTTGTAATCTCTATTACTCTGGGATTCGGTCAGACGATTTCATGTTACTTGATACGCGAAATCGCAATTTTTTATCAATTTTACTTTCATAACAACTAATTTTTACGTACGTATATTTATGTTGACCCTAAATCTAATTCATGACCTCAACCATCGACTGTAAATCCTAATTCCTCACACTGGTTCATAACCCTCCTCCAGTTTTAGTTGTTAGGTGGGCACTCTCAAGGTCAACTTGGTGTTGCTCAAAGATTGTCTATAAATTATAGTCCCACCAACAAAGCTGTTATTTGTATATTTGTAGTTTTGAGTCCACCAGATACAACTATATACGGAAGCATGAACCAGTGCATAGACAGACCAACATGAATCGTGCAATTACAGAGACAGCAACAATGAGCCAACCCTTAGTTTATAGATGGAAAAGATTATTGTTTATCGTGAGTGAAATTGATATTGACAAATATTTTAACTAACCCTAATGACTTCTTCAGAATACCTTTAGCGTAACCTCCAGGAGGCAATGGTATGTCGGACGTTATAAGACCAATCTGTGATTGCGGCAGTTTTGGGAGCGGAATTTCACTAGCTTTTACTCTTTCAGCTAACTTTACTTGTTCTGTGGACATAAAGTAAGAATAAATGCTTACCGTAATAAAGCATCATCTCATGCCGTCTTTTGTCGTAATCTTGACGAGCTGCTTGGAGCCGGTTGGCATATTCTGCATCTTCTTTCCTCTGAATATAATTTTAACAACAATGTGAACTCATTTACGTATAACATAACAAGACGGTCGAATGTTTCCAACAGCTTTCGGCGTTTTTCCTGAATGACCCTTTCACTGAGTTGAGCTTGAACACTGGGATCATACTCTGAAGTTAAATTATTCTAACCCTAATACAATTTACCTTGTTTATCATAGAGAGTCGTTTCTTCTAATAATTGTAGAGGGTCTTTGGATTTAAGCACTGCATGACGCACAGCCATGCGTTGTTTTTTGTTTTTCTTCAATTCCCGTTTTCGTGCTTCTTTTCTCGCTTGATCTGTTGGGTTCATAAACTTCCCACTTTTTGTAGTATTCACCGAACGACGACCCATTTTCCACAATTTGCAGATTTTTCGGAAAGACCGCCGATGATAGTTGGTGACCTATAAACTTTCAAGTCCAAAATGTGTGTGGTGAAAAAGTACATTTTTGTTCTTAAAACTTGAAGCGATATATGAAATAAGCAGTCTGGAACAAATCTAAGTAATATATATTCATGAAAGATGAAAAACATTGGTAAATTATAGAGATACTGTCCTTGTTACTTAGGTATATGTCAAGTCGGGAACGGGAAGTTTAGTCCTAACGTGATTTGCATTTATCAAACTTTTGCTGTGTTCTTACGCAACAAAAGTACCATTTCAGTTCTAAAGAATCTATCCTGAGCTATACGTTCGGTAGATTACTTTTTTTTGAGTCTCACTATATTAAATAGTTACCTGTGGTTTTGCCTCAGCTTACTATTCGGTTTTTTTTGTTTTTCACGTATAGACTAGTTTCAGTTTATATCACTCGTTTTGTCCATTTTTGTCCGTTTTCAGTGTGCTTTTTAGTGTTTTTTTAAAAGGCTTAGGCTCTTGCAAGCATCTATAACATAGTTTGCTTCAACACAGTCATGAAAAACTCATGCAAACGTCCGGGATGCCGTTTTGCTGTCACAACTGGCATGCAGTGCGACAACTGCAAAGGTTGGTTCCACGAAGCATGCACAGATCTGACAGCAACTTCTTACAACAAACTCAGCAAGTCAGACCAAAAGTGGGTATGTGTCACGTGCAGCACGGACGCAGTTGTCTTGCTGAGTAACATCATTGTCCTACTGACAGGTCTTCGGAACAAGTTGTCAGTTAACTTGGATAACACTAGTAAAAAATCCGGTCGACAAACAAGAGCGTGTGACGGACTCAAAAATAGGGATGTCGACAGGCATACCATCGATGGAGCATCCATCAACACTAATGACGACGTGTTGAGGCTCAGCACCATCATTACGTCGACAGTACTAGACTCCCTAAGCAAACTCGGGTCTCCCAGCTCAGGGTCCCTGGACACAACAGTGGTTCCCAAAAACCCTGTAGGTGATTCGACCCACGTTAAGAGAGCCCAAAAGAACCAGGCATCACCGCCTAAGCCGAGCAACCCAAGTGTTGCTGCACGGAAAATAACTGGTGATTTGGTCGCACAGTCTACCCCCAAGACTGTTCGTCCGGTCAATAAAGAGCCCAAGATTCAAAAACGCACACTGACCTCCAAACAACAAGTTATTAAACCTGAACCCATCGTGAAACCTGGTAAATTAACAACAGTTCGTGACGATTCTCTCATTATCATGAACCTCGTTGACAATCCTGACCTTCCTCTCAGTCTGCAGGACAAAAACGACAGGATGCTCTGGGGTGAATTGAACAAGAAGCTTGAACTTCCTAGAATAGAGCCTTTGACGGTCACCCGGCTCACTCGAGGAAAGGATTCTAAGCATCTAAATCACCCGAGGCTTCTCCGAGTAACATTTAAGAATGCTACCGACGTAGAGGACGTCTTGCTAGCAAGTCACTTGCTGAAATCAGATGGTAACGTAAGAATATTGCCCGACATACCGTACTCTGAGCGCAATATCATACGAAACATCCCTAAAGAATCTCGCGAGAAGTTTTTCCGCGGTAGAAACATAATTGTTCAAGGTATACCGGAAAATGCAGACCCTACTCAATCACATTCTGACATCAGGGAATGGAAATTCATCAAACAGTCCTTGAGGCTCAAACACATACTGACTCAGCATGTGACGAGACTAGCCAAGAAGGACGGTGACCCAGACCCCGTCTAATGAAGATAACCTTCCCATCTTCCCACATGGCGGCTGCAGTTCTGGAAGCATTTCGTGCTAATAGACGTCGATTGCCACCTGGAATCCACATGCACCCGGATAGGCCATACGAAGCTAGGACCAAGAACAAAGGCAAGTTGGAGCTGACCATTCCACTTGTGGACTGTCTAAACGATAAAAAAACGTGTAAAGGACAGGGCCTACCACCTCGGCAAACCTCATATAGGTGGGCTACCTGTCCATTCACATAAGGTTCATACAGAAAAACAGGACGAAGCTCACGCGTTCCAAATTGAAAGCATAAACTGCTTATATATGAACGCCGCGAGTCTACCAAACAAACTGGATGAACTACGTGAACTTAGCAACGCTAATAAGGCCCATCTGATAGGAATATCTGAAACCTGGATATCTTCTCAGTTCTCGGACCAAGAGTTAGCATTACCTGGGATGACTTTGTTCCGCAACGACAGAAAAACAGGAATTGGGGGCGGAGTAGCCATATACATAAGCTCTTGCTTGGAGGTGCACCAAGTTCACAACCTCGAGTTTAACAATCTTGAGGAATCCATATGGTGCTCTGTAAGATTGTCTAGTACTTCGAGGTGTCTAGTCGGAGTCATTTACAGAAAGCCAACTGCCGACATCGAGTACGATAGTCGTATGCTGGAAGGACTATCCCGCTCTATCCGTCTCGGTTTCACACACATCCTGATTCTAGGGGACTTTAATCTCCCTAGAGTCAACTTCGCGGAACACACGTACACTGGAGGCGACAACTCAATTGAAGCTCGGTTCTACAACCTCATCGATGACTTGGGCTTATATGAAAATGTGAGGTCGGCAACTCGTTGGAGAAACAGTCAGACACCATCGCGCTTAGACTGTGTATTCACTAACGAAGAATTCCTAGTCGACAACCTCTCAATCCTGGCTCCTCTGGGAAAGAGCGATCATGCCGTCATAGCCTTCAGTTTTGTCATCAAAACTAAGCTAAGGTATCCCAACAATAATTTGCGTTGGAATTTTAAACGGCTGAATGTCCCAGCTCTACATGACTATCTACAACAGGTGGCTTGGGATGTTCACCCTCAACTCGATGTGGATGGTCATTGGGACTTCTTACTGCACACGCTCTTATGTGCTACAGACCATTCAGTTCCTCAAACGGTTCCCAAAAGCTGCAAGCCACCTACAGTAATCAAGAACCGTACCCTTCGCCTGCTAAGCCGCAAAAGGCACTGTTGGGCGGAATACAAACGAACTAATAACGATGGAGCGTATAGGCAATATAAACATATCAGGAACATATGCACGAAGGCTATAAGAGAAGACAGGCTTCAGTACCAAACAAAGCTTATGGACAAATTCGCCTCTAACCCTAGAAGCTTATTCCGTTATGCAGCCTCTCTTCGTCAAGCCAAAACAGGAGTTTCTCAACTGGTAGGTCTTAACGGCCCGACCAACAACGATGGCGACGCCGCTAACCTTCTGGCGGCACATTACTCTCAAACATTTCAACCGGCTGACATCAACTTTACTGACGACAGTTTCATCTGCAATTCCACAGGACTTTCTGAAGTGGACCTAAGCGCTGACTTGGTGTTCCGGAAATTGCAGCACTTAAGACTTGACACTTCTCCTGGCCCGGATATGGTTCATCCTGCCATACTGAGGGAGGCAGCCTCAATCCTGGCAACGCCGCTTAGCGTGATGTTTTCTCACTCGCTTAGCCGAGGCAAATTACCGGAAAATTGGAAGTTGGCTCACATCACACCAATTTTCAAAGGTGGTCGACGCAATGAACCTTCAAGTTATCGGCCGGTGGCTCTTCTGTCATTACCTTCAAAACTCATGGAGTCCCTGATATGCGACGGTTTAAATGACTATCTACTGTCCTTAAATTTCTTCTCACCCCAACAGCATGGTTTCAGGAAGGGTTACTCTTGTATAACCAACCTGCTGACTGCGGTGGACAGATGGACAAGCATCCTCGATTGCAAGGGAAAGGTTGATGTCATTTACCTTGATTTCTCAAAAGCTTTTGATAAGGTTAACCACTTGTGTCTTATCAACAAGCTCAAACGACTAGGTATCAAACCACCCCTAATCGATTGGCTTACTTCATACCTAAAAAATCGACACTTTAAGGTTAGGGTTAATTTCACTTTATCTCAGGCTATGGAATGTCCTAGTGGGGTCCCCCAGGGCTCAGTACTAGGGCCTCTTCTCTTCTTGATCTACATAAATGATCTTCCTCAACAGGTAACGTCAGATTTATTACTTTTTGCCGACGACGTGAAACTTTGGAGAGAGATACGCAACCAAGACGATACACAGGCACTTCAGGAGGATCTGACTCGACTTCAAAGTTGGGCAGACGATAACGGACTTACCTTTAACACTTCAAAGTGTAAAGTAGTCCATCTGCGACATGTTGCAAACTACAGTTACAACTTAGGAAACTCCTCTCTAGTAGTATCCCAAGTCGAAAAAGATTTAGGAGTCCTGGTGCCCCATGATTTGAAGTCTTACGCTAACTGTGACAAAAATGCCTTCCGAGCAAACCTTGCACTGGTAACGTTGAGGCGCATTTTTGGCCAGTTTGACGGAAGAACTTTCCACACAATCTTCAATAGTTTCATCCGTCCCCATTTAGAGTACGGAAACATAGTACTCCCCCCTCACTCCAAAAGGACAAGGTCACTTTGGAGCGTATCCAACGGCGAGCCACGAAATCAGTTCGAGGACTCAAATCTAAGCCTTACGAAGAACGCCTCCGTTCACTAGACCTTTACCCATTAGAATATAGGCGTCTTAGAGGTGATTTATTAATGGCTTATAGTATTCTTAACACTTCTGGACATCCTCTTAAACACCTACTTAAGCTTAGTTCGAATAATAACCTAAGGGGTAACACCCAGAAACTGGAAACACAACATAGCAAGACGGAATGTAGACACAACTTCTACTCCTTAAGAGTTGTCAAAAGCTGGAATTCGCTGCCAGCCGAGCTAGTCCAAGCGACTTCTCAGGAGTCCTTCAAGAGGCAACTTGACCTATTCTTAAGGACCAAGGACAGCATCACATTATGATTTACCAATCTCTTTTCCTCTTTTATTGTTAACATACCTAGGTTCCTGCCTGGAGGATTTGGTGATCCCCTGCTACTAGACACGGAAGCCTGTTAAGCGAAAGCTTCTTCTATTCCGTCCACAACCATTTGAACCATTTGAAGTCTCATCCTGGATGACCCCTGAGAATTCAAATG